ATTAGGAAAACATATATAATAAACAAGATAATGGTAATTATAAGTAATGGATCAAACAATTTTTTTTTTTCTTAAAACAATATATTTTGAGTGTTTGTATTATGAAAATGAATTGTAGTGTTATATATAGATATTGGTAAATAGCCGTTGCAATATAGCCGTTGGAACCAAATTTAATGATATAATATTTGCTAATTAATCATTTATGATCATAAAATTCTAATTAATCATGTATATTACCTTAAATTTTTTTTCGAATTATTTGATGAATATTTTCGCGAATATAACAAAACAAGTAAAAAAAATGCTCCACATTATTTGATAAATTTTATGGTAAGTACAAGAATAAACAGTTATAAATTTCACGCCACATTACTGGGTAAACAATTTTTATGGGTGTTAAGTATAAATAATAACATTTATTACAACTTGAAAAATAATACATAAGCAAATTTAATAATATCATATCACCACATATTATTGGCTATGACATAGCCTAATTTGCCAATAATAATGGTAATGCGTATATAATATCATATTTAGTATACATATCTTGACTGTGGCAGAGCCTAACTTGTCAAGATAATAGCAATATATATATATATTTTTTACTGTGGCAGAGCCTAACTTGTCAAAAATAATAGCAATATGTATATATATATCCTTGACTGTGGCAGAGCCTAACTTGTCAAGAATAATGGTAATATGTATATATATCCTACCTTTCTTGACCGGGTAGAGCGTTCGTGCTGATAACGTGTTATAAAATACGGGGAATATAAAGAACACAATGTATAAAAACCGGATATAAACTGTAACAGACTTTCTTTCACTTTACTTTTCCGTACAAAATCACAATGGTTCTCTTGTCTTTTATAGGCAAAGTCATGCACGCACTTCTATACATACACACATTACAATGTATTGTGATAAGATAATGTAAATAAGATTTACTAGTGGTAATTCCACTTTTACATAACAATAATGCTTTTAAGGGATAATTAATAATTCATATTTGGAACACAAAAAAACAAAAATATATGTTTTTATTTTAATCTTTTCGTATTTAATAACTTGTTGATAAATAAATTTATTTCATTAACAACTAGTAACTGAATTAGTTGTCAATTACAATTGATAGATAATTGAATATTGGTTTCTCATATATAGTTATTTATTCTAGATACAATTGTAGACAAATAAATTTTGAGCCAATTAAATGGCGACAAGTGTCAAATTCCATGTCATAGTCAATTTAATAATTTTCTATTTTATTTGGGAAATTAATCAAATTTTAATTCCTAAATTTAATAGTTAATTAATTGATTATTTAATATGTATTGTGGGCCAATTAAAGAATGCCACGTGTATATTTTGAAGGTCAATTAAAGAGTGTCACATGTCATTTTCTTGGAGAGTAAAATAAATAATTATTTCTTTTAATAATTATTAAAGAGATAAATAAGTGAAAATTCATGGACCAATCAAATTGAAGTCTTTTTTTTCAAGACTCTCTCTCCTAATTATCTCTTTAGATAATTATTAAGAGATAAATATTGAAAATTATGGACCAATCAAATTGAAGTCTTCTTTTCCAAGACTCTCTCTCCCAAACACCTATAAATAGGGGCTCTCCCTAAGGTGAAAAAAACACAATTCATATTCAAGTCCACAAGTCATATTCAAGTTCCAGAGCTCTAGAGAATTCTCTCCACAAGATTCAAGTGTTCTTGAAGATCCAAAGGCGTTCTTGAAGATTCGAAGGAAGATTCAAGCACGTTCAAGCCCAAAACCGACGTTCAATCCGGAAACAAGCTGCCAAGCCTCCGAATTGCGTTATTAAAGTTCAAGTGTTTTGAAGATTCAAAGGCGTTCTTGAAGACCCGAAGGAAGATTCAATCACGTTCAAGCCCAAAACTGACGTTCAATCCGGAAACAAGCTGTCAAGCCTCCGAATTTACGTTATTGAAGTCAAGACCGACGTAGAGAAGATCAAAATCAACTTTGCGGCGAAGACCAAGGACTCGTGTTCTTCACGTTCTTGGGAAATCACAACGTTCGATTCGAGATCAAGCTATCAAGCCCTCGAAGAAACGTTATTTAAACCATATTCAAGACCGGCGGAGATCAAACTAAAGATTCATCTCCAAAAGTCTCAAGTCTATTTGAAGATCGTTCTTGAAGAAATTAATCAGAGGAATAATAGAGATTTGTAATCCACTATATTTTATTTGATCCGTTGAAAATCAATTTGTATGAAGTTCTCGTGTTTACTAATTCAATAATACGAAATTTTGCGTTACAAATTTCTGGCACGCCCAGTGGGACAATCTTTACCTCTCATCTCTTTTCTTCAAGATATGTAACAGCAAGGATGACTCCTCCCAAGTCAACTTCTTCA